GCGGCCGCTCCCGCCGCCGCCGCGCATCGCCGGGCGCCCTGCCCGTCGCGCAGGCGCCGTGCGCCGCGCCGAGGGAAGGGGAGGGCTCGGAGCGGCCCGCGCGGCGTCTCGCGAGACGAGAATAGGGGCGGCGCGCAAGGCCCAAAATACCGCAGAGGGGAATTAGCTCAAATGGTAGAGCGCTCGCTTAGCATGCGAGAGGTAGCGGGATCGATGCCCGCATTCTCCAGTTGTTTTCCTGCCCCACCGCACCCGCCAACGTCGGAACCACCCCCTTGCGCCTCATTTTCCAGCAGGCCGCCCTTTATAGGGACTGTCTGGGAACGGGGCTTTGATGGAGAGTGCTATGTTTTGGGGGATGCAGTGGCCTTCCCAAAGGGAAGGTGAGCACAGCCATAGGTGCTTCCCACACCTTCATGCAAAGGGAAGGTGCCACCTGCAGCCGGCACCTGCGTCTGTCCTCTCAGGAAGCAGCAGTGCTGACATGCAAAGCGTGGTCTCCAAAGCAGTTTTTCGGAAACCCCCAGATGAGCCTAGGTGGTTTTTTTTAGCGTACAGTTTTCATTCTGGCTCTCTAAAGCTGGTTAATGGTCGGGCTTTCACCGGCCACGCGAGCACGTGAGCCGAGCAGCTGGTGCTCCAAGGGCCCTTGCAGCTCGCAGCGGTTCCGCCGGGGCTGCCCGCGGTGCCTCAGCATGCGGAAGCGGAGCGGGCAGCGCCGCCCACCTGGGTGCGAGTGGCCGCGCCAGCGGCTCTCCCGAGGCGGCTTTGTGCCCCTCGCCCTGGCGCTCTCCTCGGCCCAGCCGCCTCTGCCCCGGCACCGAGCAGCTTAGTGCCTCTAACCAAACGATTTGCAGGACGCCGAGCTGTTTGTGTGAGAACCTGGAGGAGGCAGGCGGGGAAGCGGCAGCGCAGACAAGCGGCCTCACAGCACAAGGTGACAGCGAAAGGCTGAGAAGGGAGCACGGCGCAGGTCGTGTCCCGGGGGAAGCCGCAGGGCAGCCAGGTGCAGGAGGCAGCAGCCACTATGGAGCAAGGGTTGGTTCCCAGCCTGCTCCACTGAGGCAGCAGCAACAGCAGAGAAGGACGGGGTCTGTCTCCCACTCCTGCCTGCCTGTAGCCCATCACGGCGCTAATCAGTCTTCTTGCTGCTCCAGATGGAGTGAAAAGTGAGGTGATACTGCAATTAGCCTGTGCTTCAGCCTCACGCAAGGGAGGGGACAGTTGGGGAAAGCAGCAGGACTTTGGGAGAGGAAGACAGAGGACAGGGTGGCAGGGCCTGGCCCGCGGGGCTGGGATGGCTCCGTGCGGCTCCGGCTGAGCTGCGGGTGGCCGGGGCAGCGCCGTAGCCGTGACTCACCCACGAGCTGAGCCGCGGGGCGGGAAGGAGCCGCGGCCGCCCCCACGCGCTGCCCCTCCAGCGGCGGCTGCGCAGGCGCCGCGCGGGAGGACGCGGCTCTGCCTCTCGCTCCCTCTGCAGACGGCCGGGAGGAGTGAGGTACGTGTCCCGCCGCCCGCGTCCCCCTCAGACCCTCCGTGCTGGTAGCAGGAGAGGGCCCGAGGACGCTGTGAGCCACGCGGCACCAAGGCTGCTCTTTAGGGGACGCCTGGCCGCGATTACCCGGAGAGCTGCTCGCTGCCTGAGCCAGGACGCTGGGCAAGGGGTATTTTTACCAAGAAACTGGGGAGAAGCCAAGTTCTTTCTCCTCCAGCGACCCAGAGCGCTGTCTGGAAAGCTCTGGGTCCCTCAAGGCCACTCTCTACTCTGCCCCGTGAAAGTCCAAAGCTTTCTTTCCAGGGGAAAAAGCACTAGAGAAAAGAAAGAGAGTGAGCAAGGGTGTAGCTGGTGGCTGGAAAGGGAGCAAGCCAGGGTGGTGATGACGAACACGTCCCATGCACAGTCATGCTCCAGCACCGTCGCTCAGGACGGATGCAGCCTCTGCTAACGGCATTGCTTTGGGTGTGGAGCAGCTTTGGGAAAGCCCCGAGGAGGGCAAATGTATCCAAACAGTCACATAGCCGTGAAACTCCTGCCCACCGTTGCTCCAGCGGCTCTGTCTCCGGCAGTGGGAGGCAGCTTAAGGTGGCCCTTGGTGCTGGTGAGCCCATCTGCACGCAGTGTGTCCTGTCCGCTGTGCAATGCGTCCTGTCCGCTGTGCAGTGCGTCCTGTCCACTCTGCAGTGTGTCCTGTCCGCTCTGCAGTGTCCTGTCCGCTGTGCAGTGCATCCTATCTGCCATGCAATCTGTCCTGTCCGCTGTGCAGTGCATCCCTCTTCAGCGTGTCCTGTCGGCCCTGCAGTGCGCTGCGCTGAGGAAGCCCCTCTCTGCAGCTGCCCATCAAGGGCAAAGCTGGGGAGGCACTGGGGAAAGGGTGTTTTTCTCCAGTGGCTGCCACTGTTGGTCAGGTGAGTACAGCAAAAATGTTGGGCAGAGAGGAACCTCACGAGGTTCATCAAGGACAAGTGCAGGGTCCTGCACCTGGGGAGGAATAACCCCAGGCATCAGTACAGATTAGGGGTTGAACTGCCGGAAAGCAGCTCCACAGAGAGGGACCTGGGAGTCCTGGTTGACACCAAGTTAACCATGAGGCAGCAGAGCCCTCGTGTCCAAGAAGGCCAAGGGATCCTGGCTGCATCAGGAGGAGTGTTGCCAGCAGGTCAAGGGAGGGGATCCTGCCCCTCTCCTCAGCTCTGGTGAGGCCGCACCTGGAGCATTGGGTGCAGTTCTGGGCTCCCCAGGACAAGAGGGACATGGAGCTTCTAGAGAGGGTCCAGCGGAGGGCAACAAAGATGATGAAGAGACTGGAAAATCTCTCGTATGAGGAGAGACTGAGTTGGGCCTGTTTAGCTTGGAGAAGAGAAGGCTGAGAGGGGATCTGATTAACATGTGTATATGTTAATATACACATATGTATATGTATATGTATATGTATATGTATATGTATATGTATATGTATATGAAGGGAGAATGTAGGGCGGAAGGGGCCAAGCTTTTCTCATTGGTGGCCAGTGACAGGACAAGGGGTAATGGGTGCAAGCTGAAACACAGGAASTTCCATCTGCATGTGAGGAGGAACTTCTTCACTGTGAGGGTGACAGAGCCCTGGCACAGGCTGCCCAGGGAGGTTGTGGAGTCTCCTTCTCTGGAGGTCTTCTAAACCCGCCTGGATGCCGCCCTGTGCCCCATGCTCTGGGTGTCTCTGCTGGAGCAGGAAGGTTGGACTAGAGGATCTCTAGAGGTCCCTTCCAACCTCAACCGTTCTGTGAATCTGTGAAAAGCAGCCAAATCTTGCAGCGTCGTGGGGGACGAGGAGGTTTGTGCTGGGGACAGGGGGTCCAACACGAGGCCGCGGGCCCAGCAGGGCACTGCACGAGCGCCGCTTCACCAGCCCCAGGGGCAGAGACTTCAGCCCGTGGCCCGTTCGCAGCGCGGCCCTGCGGCTGCCCGAGGGAGCTGCCGCCGAGCGCGGCTGCTCGGCCAGGGCCGCGCCCCGCCCTGCCCTGCCCGCGCAGCTGCAGACGGCAGCGGGCGTCGCGAG